GTTCTTCTATAAAATATCATGACTCAGTCTGACAATTTTATTGTGATTGTCTATATACCACACACAGTAAAGGTCAAGCAAGTCAGCAAGAAAATCAAATGCCAAACTAGCCTGTCAATTTAGTCAAACTGACATCTTTATGAATAAAACAGAAAAGAAAAAAGATAAAAAAACACTAAAAGGAGATGTATGTAAAAAATAAGACACACATACCTTCAGGGTGCTGCACCCGACGGTTCTAAGCCCGAGAACTGAGTGATCACATGAACATTGATTGCTCAGTTCTCTGTTCACTTGGAGTGGAGAGCAGAGAATGTAAGTCACTACTCTCTGCTCTGCCTCTCCAGCACTCCCTGGAGCTCTGGGCTGGTGAGGGAGCAGACGAAGCTGGCTTCAGCTTTCAAACATGCACTGAGAGCCGATGCCAGCTTTCAGTCAGGCAGCTGGATGGATCCCAACAATATGGTCGGGATAATTCCAGAGCCTGAACTGGCTTTGTGACGTCAACAGACAGTGGGCTGCTTGCTGTCAGCTGATTCTGGGTTACAGAAAAGCAAAAGTACATGCACTCCTGTGACCCAAAAAAATAGTATGGCAAAAAAGCTTTGGCCACACTTCTCTTTTAACTATTTGTATGTGACTGAAGAAAATGGAGACACTTATAAACCAAAAAAACTATTACTGCACTATACCTTTGTTTTCAGTTAGGTCTCATTCATCATCTTCTAAACTCATGTTCATCAGATGCAATTCTTCACATTCCCTCAGGCATCAACTTTATGGTACAATGAAAATTCCTTTATATTTATAACACCTGAGTGCATCTTGCAAAGTTTTAAATGTATCAAGCTTCAGTTTACCATTAACATCAGCTTTGCAGAGACCTTTAAAAATGCACACATGATCTGAAGGAGCCTGTAATGTAAATGATGCAAGATCAGAATGTTTGCTCTTTGAAATGTATGGGCTGGGCTATCTGCACACCATTAACCATTAGCTAGAATAAAGGGGACCATTTAAAGTGGTTAGCGGTGCTGCACAACCCATCTAACTTTATGTACCACCAATGGCTTGGAAAAAGCTCGCCATAGACAGGTAGTTTTTTTTCGTACAGTCCGCTGGCTAACAGATTCCTCCATCCAAACTAGCAAGGTGAATGGAAGATTTACCCCTTCCTCCATGCCAGGACATTGTATTAGGACAGTGGGACTCATTGTTGTCAGCATAATTGTCAGCATACACTGATCAGCGGCTGCGGCTGCTGATCGAAAAAGTTTTCCAGGAACACCTGCATGCTGATTGAGATTCAGACAGTCCCTGCTGAACCAGCCAAACTTTTGTGAGACCATAGCCAGCTTGATTGCGATCATTAGTTTTCCAGGAACACCTGCATGCTGATTGAGATTCAGACAGTCCCTGCTGAACCAGCCAAACTTTCGTGAGACAATAGCCAGCTTGATTGCGATCATTATTTTTACAGAAAAAGGTGGAAGAGGAGGGAAACTATAGCAGGCAGACAGATTTTCCTACCTGCCCAGCTATAGACATGTTATTGTGTCCCAATCCTTTTGAAAATAACAAAAGTCATCTCCCGTGGTAAGTGAAAAAGGACATTTCTGAGACCTGCTGAAACACTTCTCTAATAAATAAGGTAAAACTCTCAGTTCAATCAATGGAAAATTTCACATTCTGAATGTCATACAATGCTTGAACCAGTGGCATCAATTGCAAATACCAGGGCCATATACATGTTTGCCTGACAGGTATGTGGTCATGTATGCACAAAGCTTTCTTTATACACCCCATGCAGCCTTCATTGGCTAAAACAATAACAGTATATAAAAAAAAGGCTACGTGATTGAGAAAGTCCTTGGGAAACTAATGGCTCTACTACTGGTGTCTATATTAAATAAAGATACGAAAGATAATTAGTATTGATTAGTAGTAGACTACTTGCATTCTGTGACCATGAAAAAAATATTCAGCAGGGCCACTACAGTATAGAATGTTTCTTTTTTTTTTTTTATTTCTTTCAAAACTTTTTTTTTTTGGTCAGTGTCAGTCCACACTAACCCGGCAATGCAATTTTAGGTATGTGACGAGGTATATTACACAGTTCCCAGTACTGCACACCTACTGTGGGCCATTAAAAACGTTCATAACACGCCATGATGGATTTTTAATGCATCACTGCAACCAGCAGCAGGACTAAAATTCCCTCTTTTGGAAAAGTGGGGGGCAATGCCCTACTTCATCAGGGGAGAGAGGCAAGAACATTGTGATGCTGGCATTCCTCTCGGATGTAAAACCAGTTAGTGACTGAACTAGTTCACTCGCTTGTAAAGAACCTAGTATATAATTATATACTATATGGACAATTCTAGTTGTCGGCAATAGTCTCTATTTCTTTTTAATTCAGAATAACAATCTGACAAAGTACATTAATAAACAAATTGCACAAGAAACCCAACAGCTAAAGATTACTCACAGTTTAACGTGTCAAAAAACTGCAACATTCCAGAAAATAATTGGTGGTATATAAAGGTAGGTCACAGGTATTCCATTTGTTGGCAGCATAGTGGGAGAAGTGAACTGCAAGGATATGTTATCGCTGTGAATTTCAATAAATATAGCTGAAGCTTTTCCCATAAATTAAAGTGAGAATAAAGCATCTCATGTGATGCTATAATGGTTTTACACTTTACATACTGTACATTAGAAAGGTAAAATTGGAATAAAACTGGTGCACCCAGGCAAATGTGCATTCTAATAGAACATAGCCTAACTCAATTTAAATATGAATTAATTAAAAATACAATAAATAAAAGTTACAGGCTTTTAAGGTCTGTTAGATCTGCTAAGAATGTCCGATAGGAATGATAACTGGTCCTTTTGTTTGAGGAAAGGGATGTACAAGTTAGCAGTTAAAAGAAACAAAATAATACAGTTCTGTACAGGTGATCCCAAGATCAGAAGTTCCAGGCATCCTTCTGAACCATGGCTTGGATCCAGCTGGTTAGGACCGATACTTCAGGATAATGGGCACTGTAAGTCAGCAAAAAATAAATTAGGCACAGATTGTCACACAAAATGTCTTGAACCTATGAAAAGGTGGTCACGCAAAAGAAAACTAGTGTGTACATTCATATATTAATTATGCACTATTACCCAAAAACATATTTTATACCTATTGTGAAGCACTGGCTTGTGGACAGTATATATGTGTCACCTAGGTTTCTCACCAACACATGGTAAGGGGCTCCAGGGTTTGTTTGCCTTAGGAAAAAAAGTGCAGATACTTTGTAGGAGGTTTGGATGTGATAAAGCCTTCAGTCCTAGGTCCACATTTTACCCATTAGTTTCAAACACAAAAATAACAATGGTTTCATATGGCATTTCTCCTGCTGGCTATCCTGTGGGGGTCCCTGGAACCCCTTAAAGTTTACTACAGTGCTATACAAGCTTAAAAAAAAAATAAGCCTGCATGCCCTGTACTGTTTAATATCTCATAACCAGTGTGCCAACAGGAAAGGGCTAAAGCTGGGTATAGACTAGCAGATTTGCCCAGTAGAGTAGAATGGCCCAGTCAAAAGTCCAGACCTAAATCCAATTGAGAATCTGTAGCAAGACTTGAAAATTGCTGTTCACAGACACTATTTTGCAAAGAAGAATGGTCAAAAGTTTCACTCTCTAGATGTGCAAAGCTGGTGGAGGTATACCCAAAAGACTTGCAGCTGTAACTGCAGTGAAAGGTGGTTCTACAAAGTATTGACTCAGGGGGGCTGATTACAAATGCACAAATCCACACTTTACAGATATTTATTTGTACAAAAATTTTGAAAACCCTTTATCATTTTCCTTCTGCAAAATCATGTGCCACTTTGTGTTGGTCTATCATATAAAATCTCAATAAAATACATTTACGTTTTTGGTTCGAACATAACAAAATGTGGAACATTTCAAGGGGTATGAATACGTTTTCAAGGCACTGTAAATACTGTAGTAGCTGTAACTTCATGGTTTAATAACTTGCATACAAAGACCATGGTTTACATCCAAAGTATGAAGAGTTTATTTTCGAAGGGTTTAATTAAAATTACTTAAAAACTCAAGTAGAAGTATTCAAAATTCAAATATTTGCTGTGTTTCTCATGCAGGGGATGAAACAGTTATTGTACATGGTGCTGCAGAAGTGGCCATCAAGACAGCAGTTAAACATGTATCAAAAAATGAATTGTTGAGCAGCAGATAGGATATCTGCTGTAGCTGTAAAGCTGCTTCATTATGTTTCATGAATAGAATATTAGAAGTAGAAGGTCTTGTGTAGATGGATAAATGCAGCATGCTTCCTGTGCATTCATGATATTTCTGAAAATTCTTTAGAATTTCTTCACAAGTACAACTGACCTATATCAATTTTCATTTTTTATTTCTATTTACTTGTATTGGGGGAGAAAACAATTCTGAAAGGAAAAGCTGTGTACAAAACCTCCAGACTAGTACCACCATGTTGGACGAGCTAGTTTACTAATTTTTTCAGAAATCAGTCCGTCTTACTGGAGTTCTCAACATTGATATTGATTTGACTTTTTAAATAGCCAGCTTGTAAGATAAAATGGCTGTTTTCTCTGTGGACGTTACATGAGTTATAATAGCCATAACTATATTATAAACAAACTTGTGTGCTGCAAGTTTAACCTCGGGGTTTTCTAACAGAACAGCAGGTTGTCTTCAGATGATTTTACAGAAGACTGGGAAGAGAAGTCTGCTAACCTTTAGTCCACTCAATGAAGCTTTTTGAATTTGCCATGATGTCATTCAGTTAACAGCATCCCATACAGAAGATCTAAATAATAATAGCAGTACGGTTTTCATTGGATTATTTTTTGTGGAAATTATGGATTGATTAAGCTGAGCCATTTGATTCAGCTTTCAGCTACATAAAATACCATTAAAAAAAAAAAAAGAAAATCATAAAAAAAACCAAAAAAACGGTATATTTAGTACTTACCAATAATCACTAGCAGGATGAGAATGAAAACCAAGGCCACTATGGCTTTCATCTAAAAGCACAAAGCATATATAAATTTAGTTTTCACACCATATAGCTTTTAAATCTACAGCTTAATGTACAGAATTGGTCTTAAAGCAATAAGGAGACAGCTACAGTTTTACTAACTTTTGGCAAACTAAAAAAAAGGTTTAGGTCCCTTTCAGACGAGGCAGGCGCCGTCCCGATCTGCTCACAGATTTTCTGCTGATCACAGCAGGACGGGCGGATGATACATCCAATGTCTGCTCAGTTTCTGTAGAGTGGACACGGAAAAAGCCCACTCTGCTCTATGGGAGGCCAGGTGTATTGGGACTCCACTGTCCGTCTACACCCGACTGCCCTCCACATCTGCCTAAATGGAAGAGGACAGTACCTTTCCAGTTTTTTTTTTAGTGGGCCTGATCAAACCCAGAGGTAGAAGGGTATAAACAGACACAAGTCTGCTTACACCCGCCTGTCCATCGGGGTGAATGGACCATCTGATCAGGTCCCACTGTCAGTTTTTCAGACCCGCTGTATAAAAAGGGGGCTTACAGTTATTATTTTCAAACTTGAGTTTGAAGTGTTTTTCCCGCTTGTTGTCCATTTATGAACACATGATTCAGCATTGATACCCTACAAAACTATTATACCCAAGTACAGCGAATTTTTACATTTTGGAGCTGCCTCATTATTTAAACTAACATTTTAGACAGACAGCTCCATCTGTTGAGAAACATAAGAACTATTGCTCAGCTTCCTCCCTTTTGCACGAAAGCATAGGTTTTTCTGAACAAAATAGTATATGTATCCAAAAAGTTTGCAGCAAACCCTTCAAACATTTTTTTGAACAATAAGGTCCTCCATACTAGACAAGCAGCAGCATTATTTTAATTGGTTATATGAACAGCAGGAGTGTTGTTTTTTAATCTTATTCTACATTTCAATCATTGGAATAAAATGATATGGCATATATGTAAATGTCAAACACACAGTAAATGTGTGGGAAGATGCCTGAACATAGGAATGGGATTGTAATATGTCGAAGAAATAGGGCAATCCACTTTTTAGAATGATAATTTAGAATAAAACTTTTGGAACTCAGCTTAGTGGTGAGGAAATGTGCACTTCAATGTAAATGTGAACCCTTGTAAAATAATCCATTCAGTTCACAGCGGCATGAGGGGCTTAGAGAGGTGGGGGTGCAGAAACAGCAGGAGACTGGTCTTCCCAGTCAATGGCTGTGTGTGGGGAGGGTGTGTCAGCACAAGTCGGATCATTGGAGGACAGGCAGGCTGTTCTCCAAGTACAGCCAGATGACTGACTACACCAGGATGGATGTGAACTCATGCCTAGAGTCATCATTTTGAAATAGGAAACCAGGGGGACTGCAAAGAGAACAGGATATTTTAAACACAAGTACATGGTACAACAGACAAATATAAATATGAAATGTAGAGGTAACATATTATTTAAACCTTCATATTAGGTGAAACTGTGACGCCTTTGTTGCTATATATTTAAAACGATAAATGCTCACCTTACATTCCCGCCACCACATTTGTCTTCTGATTTGTCTTGCTCTGCTACTGAAAGCTGTGGCGTTATCTGACAAACTTTCTGTATGATATAGAAATCCAACAAAAAATTATTATAATAAAGAATTCTGAAATAAAAGGTTTAATGCAACAGCTCTATGTTATAAAGATCATTTCAAAGGGAACGTGGTGTTTAACATGTTCCCACCTGGCCTATAGCAGATTGATGGTTGGGCGGAACGCTCCTCCTGAGTGGACATCATATGACGTCCTGTCAGAACGCGCCACTCATGGGGCTGCGCAGTGGCATGATCTGTTACCGGCTGTGTCCACAGGACAATGCCAATGACAGATCACTACACCAACCCGCTGCCAGTGTCATGCGACCGCTGTGACCAATCACAGCAGATCACATGACAATTGTATACAATGGCTGGCTTCCTTTCATTCCATTCATTGTATACAATTGTGTTGTTAGCTGTGATTGGTCACATAGTACAGACAGGGTCAATCACAGCTCATCTGTAACATGTGATGAGCTTTGGCCAATCACAGCTAATCACAACAAAATACTGAATGGATCAGTTTCATTGAGAAAAAATGATTGCGAATATCAATGAATTACATTGGTATAAGCAATTATAATCTGTAAAAAAAAAAAAATCACTTGCCCAGTGTAGTAAAGTGTTACTATGGTAACATTGTATTGCTTTGGTCACAGTGTGTGCTGAAAAAAACAGTAAAAAAGAAAAAAAGTAATAAGAAAAAAAATAGAAAAAAAATTTATTTTTATTTTTTCTTACATACTCACCAACCAGTCGGTGTCCCTGATCATGGCGACACCAGTTATATGATAATTCTGCACTGGACTAGTGACTATGTTAAAAAGAAATATATATTTTTTTTAATTTCTTCATTTTCCCAATAATTGTGCCAAAAAATTACAACTTACTAAATACCTTGGACTGTATTTTCCAAAAATGGGTCATTTGGGGAGTATTTGTACTATTCTGGCATTTTCAGACCTCAAGAAATTAGATTGGTCGTCAGTATATCAGGACTGATTGTCAGATATATACACCATAGTTTGTGGACTCTATAACTTTTCTACAGACTAAATAATATACACCAATTTTGGTTATTTTCACCAAAAAAATGTAGCAGAATACATTTTGACCTAAATTTATAAAGAATGGTTATTTATTTGCTAAATTTTATAATAGAAAACAAAGAAAAACATTTTTTAAGTTTCATTTTTGTTTATTTAGCAAAAAACTCAGTGGTGATTAAATACCACCAAAAGAAAGCTCTATTTGTGTAAAAAAAAATGATAAAAATCTTTTATGGGTACAATGTTATTCACCGTAAAATCCTTTTCTCTGAGTTCATTGACGGACACAACTCATATGAATCTTGACCATAGGGTTATAGTGACACCTACAGGAATAGGACACTAGGCAGAAAAGAACAGCATCGCCTATGGGCAGTCCTAGCTGATATAAAACCCCCTCTCTGATTTAGGCAATCCAGTTAGTAACAAAACAGCATCAGAAGTATAACTCCAACTGAGGGGTGGGTGGGTGTTGTGTCCATCAATGAAATCAGAGAAAGGAATTTTAAAGTGAGTAGCAAAAAATCTCATTTTTTCTTACGTTCATTGACGGACACAGCTCTTCTGAATCTTGACCATAGTGATGTCCCAAAGCAGTGCCTTAATGAGGGGTCAGGAAACTAAAAGAAATAACGGAAGCAACTAGGCAAACATGCCAACCACCCAAACAACCCTGAAAGGGGCAAATAAGGAACGCCACACAGCAGCCTGCAGAACCTTGTAGGCAAAACAAGCATCCGTGGATGCAAACATTAACTTTGCAAGATTATTTAAAAGGGTGCACAGACGACCAGGTACCCGCCTTACAAACCAGAGACACATATGCCAGAAGGCACAGGAGGCACCAATCGCCCTAGTGGAGAGTGCTGTTATGCGGAAGGGAGAAGCCTGCCCCTAACAATGTAACCCTGAACAAACGCCTGCTGGATCCAACAGGAACTCCTGGCAGAGGAGGCTGCCAGGGCTTCCCATGGGCTGTCCATGAGCATAAAAAGTGAATCTGCTCTCTGGCAGAGAGCCGTAGTAGAAAGGTACAACAAAACTACCTGGGCAACAGCCAAGAAGTGCAATGCAACCTCCTTAGGATGCGGTGGCTGTGGACACAAGGAAGGCAAGACAATTTCCTCAATTCAGAGAAAATATCCTACATAATCTTCAAAGGGAGGTTTCCGTGGAACTGAAAAAAAAATCAAATTTAAGTCCCACGGTAAGCACACAGGGGGCAACAGTTGATGAACCCCAGATCAAGAGGCTCTGAAAAAAGATAGTGAGGACAGAAACTTGACTCCCAATAAAGCTCGAGGCAAGAGGATGTTCAATGCCCGATAGAAGAAAGACCAACTCCTGAACCACTGAGACGTGAGATAGACACCCAAAGCCTTACACCAGACAATATACGGCTTTCAGGAGTGATGATGTATCCTCCAACAGGAATATTGGGGAGCCTTCAACATCGCGGGTAAAACCAAACCCCCACAACCCTCTGTCCCTCAAAATTTTGCTTTCAAGAGCCAAGCCATCAAAGCCAGAGACGGTAAGGCAGAATGGTAGATTGGACCCTTTAAGTAAAATGGTGGGTGCAACCTCTGCCCTGCTAGACTGCACAGCTCCATGTGAAGGAGAGGGGGGGCCCAAGGCATGAAAGTGCAGGCCGTCTAGGGGGTCCAGCAAGTGGCAGAGCTCAGCATCCCCAAGGTGGTAGTGTCGAAGGGAGTACAGCACATGCCCACAACCAAACCCAGGTGTGAAGGAAGGGGCCCGCATGCAAAAATTGGATTTACCCAAGGTTTTACAGACCTCCACTGGCTGAGTTCAGGGGGCCACCTGACTATACAGGGGTACATTGGGGACTACCTGACAGCTGGTGGCATTGTGGCCCCTGAAAAAAGACCCAATATAGGACCCCTGATGCCCAATGCCCATTGCAGGGGGTGGGGGCAGGCAGAGAAGCCCAAGTCTGAAAGGGAGGACGGGAACCCCACAGGGCTGACCACCCCAGGAAACACCTGGATCCTACGCCGCATCTTGGAAGGGGGGGCATCTACTTACCGATAAAGCAGAGCTTGTGGGTGATGCTCCAGAGACAGATCCTCCTCCTGCACTGAAGTAGGGGGGGGGGGGGGGCTGTCGATCAGGGTAACACTGTGACACGGACTCCGACGAGTGGTCGTACGTGTCTTTGCAAGCCGTTTTACTCACTGGTCGCCTCGATCCAGGATGCGGCATGTTGCAGCCGACCCAGCACTCAGCTAAAGGTCTGACGTTGGCCAGACTGGGGTGATCACTGGATCTAGATTATCCAGTCTGTCGCCCAGTCTGATTGTTGATAGAAGATCTCCACAGGAAAAAATCCCAGGGAAAAATAAAACGAAAAAGGCTGTGGAACCACAGGTCAAAGCAGGGAACTAGTTCCTTACTCCTAAACACCACAGAAAGGCTGGATTGCCTATAGTAGAGAGGGGGTTTTATACCAGCTAGGACTGTCTTTAGGTGGTGCTGTGTTCTATTCTGCCTAGTGTCCTACTTCTTCCTGTACGTGGCGACATATAACCCTATGGTCAAGATTCACAAGAGCGGTGTCCGTCAATGAACGTAAGAGAAATCACTGTCTGTGAACACAGTTCGCCGTGCCATTCAAATGTGCAACTTAAAGCTAAATCATGCAAAAAGGCCATATCTGAACATGATCCAGAAACGTCACTGTCTTGTCTGAGCCAAAGCTCGTTTAAAATGATCTGTTGCAAAGTGCTGTTCTGTGGTCAGACGAATCGAAATTTGACATTTTTTTCCTGCAACCACGGGTGACGTGTCCTCCGGACTAAAGAGGAGAGGGACCTTCTGGATTGTTTACAGCACTCAGTTTAAAAGCCCGCATCTTTGAAAGTATGGGGGTGCATTAATATGTATGGAATGGGCAGCAATCAATCAGCCATCAATGCTAAAAGATACATCCAGGGGTTAGAGCAGCATATGCTCAGGCAAGAATGAGACAAAATTCCTCTCCCAAAACTTAGAAACTGGTCTCCTCAGTTCCCAGACAGTTACAGAGTTTGTTAAAATTAGGGGGGATGCTACACCATGGTAACCATAACCTCTTTACTTCTGAGACAGTCAGAATGTCTAAGATCCCTTTTTTTATACCCAATCATGTTACTGACTTGTTGCCAATTAACCTAATTATTTGCAAAATGGTCTTCCAGCTCTTCCTTGTTAGTGCCAATTAATTTGCCAGATTTTTTGTTGCCCTGTCCCAATTTTTTTGAAACTTGTTGCTACATCAACATCAAAATTACCTTATCTTTTTTATAAATACATAAAAAGGATTTATGAGATTTGAAAATCCCCTGCATTCTGTAGATTTTGCACAGCATCCCAATTCTTTTGCAATTGGGGTTGTACACAGGTTAGTTAGCATAGGTGTTAAGAGTGGGAAAGGGACAGCTTTAAGGCAAGTTATGTGCAAGCTGGAATCCCACTGTAAATGCAACCAATGTAAGGAGTTGACCAACTGCACTCAGAACGAGAGAGGTAGAACCTGCACCGGACACCAATTAGGATCTGCCACATGAATGTGCCAGCAGTGAAGATGCTAATAGGGGGAGAAAGCAGAATTATGACCCTAAAATGGTGCTTCTACTTCTTCACTATACAATCAGCAGGATGGGGTATATTAGTAACTATAGTGTGCTGCTGCTGTAGAGGTTTCATAGTTAGTCTGGCTTAAAAAAGTCCATCCAGTTCAACCATAAAAAAAGTTATATTCCTACACCCACAGTTGATCCAGAGGAAGGCCAAAAAAACCCAGCAAAGCATGATCCAATTTGCTCCTGCAGGGGGAAAAATCCCTTCCTGATCCCCTGAGAGGCAATCGGATATTCCCTGGATCAACTTTACCTATAAATGTTAGTATCCAGTTATATTCTGTGTATCCAAGAAAGAATCCAGGCCTTTTTTAAAGTAATCAATTGAGTTGGCCAGAACCAACTCTTGAGGGAGTCTATTCCACATTTTTGCAGCTCTTACTGTGAAGAAACCTTTCCGTATTTGGAGATTAAATCTCTTTTCCTCCAAACGTAAAGAGTACCCCCTTGTCCTCTGTGATGACCTAAGGGTGAATAGCTCTACACAGAGTTCACTATATGAACCACTGATATATTTATGTTGATCATATCCTCTTAATCTCCTCAAGAAAGAGTAAATTCAGTTCCTCTAATCTTGCCTCATAGCTGAGCTCCTCCATGCCTCTTGTCAGTTTGGTTGCCTTTCTCTGTACTTTCTGCAGTTCCCCAATGTTTTTTTTGTGAATTGGTGCCCAAAACTGAACTGCATATTCCAGATGAGGTCTTACTAATGATTTGTTCCGGGGTAATATGATATCTCTCTCTTTGGAGTCTATACCTCTTTTAATACAAGAGAGGATTTTGCTCGCTATAGAAACCGCAGCTTGGCATTGCATGCCATTATTAAGCTTGTGATCTACCAGAACCCCCAGATCGTTCTCCACCATTGATTCCCCCAGTTTTACTCTCCCTAGTATGTGAGGTTAAAGAATTGTTTACATTGTCTGGATCACAAGACTGGCTGAAATGAATTACAAATCCGTGTATTTGTAACTGTTTTCCTGTATTTTGGCTTTAATAAAGAAGCAGGTGTAGATCTTTCAACATTCCCTTTCCTTGTTAGTAAATGGTGCAAGGAATGAGACTGAAACAAGATTAAATGTTAGTTTAAAGAACATGTTTAAACTGCTAGATAGCAGTTAATATTTTACATTTATTCTCACCTGACTTGTCTTGTAGTTCATCCAACCTCTCTCCTCGTTCTATCACCTTGGTGATGTTCTCTTGCATTACACCAATCACTTCATCCACCTGGTTCTGTGCACTGCAAACATACACAGTTTGCATCAGATCAACATAAATCATATGAAAGTTAGAGACTTTGAGCTGCAACATAATCTGTTTTTATTAAGGTATATGTTGTTTCCATGTGTTTTGATTTATATGGTCTTTCTGAAACAACCTAAAGCTATCCATCCTAAACAGAACAGTCAATATAAAATAATTTAATAATGTATATACATTGACTTAAAAACATTCATGCAATCCCCATAAGGTACAATTTTTTTTTATAACAGAAATTGTTTAGATAATGAAAAACAAATGACTGTCAGATGACACGGATCAACACAAAAGACCCGGAAAACACAAAAGGTTGTTTTTCCATTTTATCATTTCATTCTAATTATTTCCTTCACATTGACCAAAAAGAGGACTTTTGGCAGATTCCCTTCTGTCGCTCCATGATTGTCCTGCCTCATTACAATCTGCAAAGGAAAAGATTAAAACTGGGTACCACAGCTGGATCCAAGTAGTTTGGGAAAATGAGGTATGGGCCAAATACATGCCAGCTGTTCCTGAATAACCAAATCTAGGCATGCATGGACTGTTGGAGCTAAAAAGGGTTTACCACATCTGATACACATCTTGCATTTACTGTTATTCTCCATAATTACTTTAATGTTTATTAAACTAAAAATGGACAATTGATTGTGGGGAAAATTAAACTTCATTTAAACCATTTATCAGTGGGTTTTAGAAAATAAGAAATATCACATATGAAAAAAATATTCTGGACTAGCACTATGAAGTGTAGTTCCTTCCCTCACTCTTAACCTTTAAGACATCCAAGCAGTTCAGGGCAGACAAATGCTACCAGGCCCAAGAAAACAGCAGAGAACTAAGGATTTCCTGCAGCACAAAGAGCCACCTGAAGGCTATTATGGCTAAGATGGTATTAGATTAGGCTGCAACATTTACCTGGTAGTTTTTAGCATATGTGTGAATAGGAAACAAGGTGGCAGACTTCTGGGGAATCTGGCAAAAAGTCCAAGAATCTACCACAGATTTTAGAAGTATGCTTCTTGACAAGAGAGGTTGGAATCCAATCCTTGAGACTATAAACTTGGATGATGGTTTTCCTGAGCCACCTAGAAATGGTAGAATAAGGTGTTGATGCACCCTTAAGGGTTCTATCCAGGGTTACTAAAAAGGAATCGGTCCTTCCTGAAATGACAGTGGCAGAGAAACAGACACAGCCCAAAACACAGCCAGCCAATAGATGGAAAGGTACTTTTGGTGAAATGGTGCTGGACATAGAGACGGAAAAAAAAAGTCCTGGTTGAGGTGAAAGCCAGAAACAACCTTAACCTCCCTGGCGAACCGGATATTGTATGTACTCTCCAGCGCCTCAGGATATGCACAGCCAAAAGGGAAGCCAAGGGTACCAGGACAGCGACAACTAAAGGAAATGCTTCAGGGGTGCAGCCCTCCTCAGACGGGGAAACCAGCCACTGGATAGAGAGAAAACAGGTGGCGCACACACCTAGTGCATTATCCAAGGTTTATTTTAGGAGTGAAAGAATAATAAAAACATACTCACAGACGAAGCATGTATCTAAAAAGCATAGAAAAATGACAATGGCCACAATGGCAGGCAAGGTGTTCTCACTGTCAGAGAGGTCAAATGGGTGACGCGTTTCAGAGACGAATCCCTTTCCTCAGAGCTGATGACCAACCTCTGATGCTGATGTATGATGAATGGAAAGTAAGAGCCTTGCTGTTGATGCCTGACTGGGAGGGTGTGGGAGTGTGCTTTATGCCTGTGGGGAAATGGCTGCTGGAATTTCTATGCTTTTTAGATACATGCTTCGTCTGTATGTTTTTATTATTCTTTCACCCCTACAATAAACCTTGGATAATGCACTAGGTGTGTGCGCCACCTGTTTTTCTCTCTCTCTCTCTCTCTTTAACCTCCCTGGCGGTCTGATTATGTCAGTATTTTTGAACATCAAAGCGGTACATTGTTTTGCATGGAAATTTGTTGTTTTATATTGTAGGCCTGTAATTCTTAGGAATAACTCACTTAAATCTGTCCAAACAAGAGTCTAGTAAACATCCAGGGTATGATAAAGTTTGAAACACGAAATCATAAATTATAATATAATAATTATAAAAAATAATACATTTAAGTCAATTTAATTAAATAATGTAATCAAACCAAAAGCACTGAAATTTGACCAAACAAGGGTACAATATTGCTAGACATTGCATATTGTTTTAATAAACATCCCGGGTATGAAAAATATTGAAACATGGGACTGCACAAAGTCTGACCTCACAATCAGGCGCTGCTCAGTCGCAGAATCGTCGCTGTCGTCACTTTCAGTGTCTGATGACGAATTTCCCCACGAATCACTATTGCTCAACTCTGCAAGTGATTCTAATTCACTATCACTGTTCTCTAGCTGGTCTAAAACCGCTTTTGACCTAAAGGACGCTTTTTGGATACCATGGAAGTTCTCAAGTTTCCAGGCAGAAAGAACAATAAAAGTGCAGGCAGGACACTGGACAAAGCATTAGGGACAACATTTAGGTGAAATGGTTTGATACAGTAATGTAATCCTAACAGATTACAAAGTATTGTGTATATGTCATGTTTTATTTACTTTTTTGACTCTCCCACCGGTTCCGCCCCCCTGCATCACAGGGCTCGCAGGGAAGGGAGCCTGGAAGATGGATGCCAGCATCGGCTGGAGGACACAGGAGGACATCAGGGGACAAGGTAAATTACACTACAGTGTAATTCCGAGTGTGGCTCGGATTACCGCTTTTGGTACTGAAAATTAGCCCCCGAGCCACAATCAGGATTACCGCCAGGGATGTTAAGCAAGAAGTAATTTCTGTGCCTGGAACCAGAAAAGGTGGAACCAGAAAAGGTTCTATTCAGGATATGGCCACCAGTTCAGACACTCATCTTGCAAAGGGGATGGCTACAACAAACACCACCTTGTGGACAAGGAATATCTCTAATTGGCTCAGACGGTGGTTTCTGAAGCACAGACAGAACCAGGTTTTGATTCTATGGAGGCAAATGGAAATGGACAGGGGGAGCTACATAGGATACTACTTGAACAAAGGTTCTAATCAGAGAGCGAGAGTACTATACAAATGTCTTAATCAGAGAGTGAGAGGCTAGTGATCTCCGAAAAAGAATAGAAGAGGCAAACATCTTAACCCTGATATTATGGAGGATCACCTTTCAGCAGGACAACGACCCTAAATATACAGCCAGAGCTATAATGGAATGGTTTAGATCAAAGTACATTCATGTGCTAGAATGGCCCAGTGGAAGTCCAGACCTAAATCCAATTGAGAATCTGTGGTAAGACTTGAAAATTGTTGTTCACAGACGCTCTCCATCCAATCTGACAGAGCTTGAGCTATTTTGCAAAAATGAATGGGCAAAGATTTCACACTCTAGATGTGCAAACTGGTACAGACATACCCAAAAAGACTTGCAGCTGTAATTGCAGCGAAAGGTGGATCTACAAAGTATTGACTCAGGGGGGCTGAATGCACCCACAATTTTCAGATATTTATTTGTAAAGAATTTTGAAAACCATTTCTCATTTTCCTTCCACTTCACAATTATGTGCTACTTTGTGTTCGTTTATCACATAAAATCCCAATAAAAATACCTTTACATTTTTTATTGTAACATGACAAAATTTAGAAAATTTCAAGGGGTATGAATACTTTTTCAAGGCACTGTACAGCCATAATTCAAATTTAACTCTAAATTAAAGCTGTAAAAGTTTTTAATGTGTCGTGTGACGTTTGGTATCTATTTACTAAACCCATCCCATCTTTTATACTTTATAAAAAATGGGTAATATATTGTGTTTGTGTACACTACAATTCATTTTAATGTGATTTTTCCTAAAACAAATTTTATTCAAAGCAGAACTAAACTGTATCTAAGCACCACAAGCTGAAAAAACGCTATTTAATTCATTTCTAATATTCAAAGCAAACTAACTCTTCCATCCATGCTTTATTTTGTCTAGAAATCACTTTGAAAACCCCCCTCCCCTAGAATTTCTAGCCATGGTAAGAGCAGATAATAATGTAGCATTTTCTTTCTGGAACCCATCTGTACTTACAATTGTACACAAAAGTTTGCATACCCTGGCAGAAAGTCTTTTATTTAACTGCTTGACCTCCAGGTCTTTTTCTGACACTTTTGTGTACCTATAAAAATTATTATTTTTTGCTAGAAAATTATTTAGAACACCCAAATAGTATATTTTTAAAGCAAAGACCCTAGAGAATAAAATGGTGGGTTTTGCAATTTTTTTTATGTCACACGGTATTTGCGCAGCGGTTTTTTAAGCACAACTTTTCGTCAAAAATACTTTTTAGGATAAGTTCACCTTTTTAGCTTCCTGCCAGAATGTCTGCTTGCTCGCACATCCTGTATGGCAAGCAGATATTCTGACAGTATAGCCTCCATTAGACCCAGAGGACTGCACCCACCTATCCAATTTAAGGGGACTTTGGAGTATCCTGATTACAACCAGCTTACACCTTAGAATCCATCTACCCACAGAGGAGAAGCACCAGATCCCTGCTATCACCCCATGATGACCATTTGATGACATCAGGATATATTTATAACGCGCATTAATTTGAGCTTTTTGGTGAGTGCGCATTGCTTATACACCTATATTCACCTTCTCCAGGAAGACACAGGAGTAATGAGCACCTTGGTCACCTGATGAACCTATTTATGATTTATTATGATCAGTGATACTTGATCTTATTTTATCATCATACGTTACGTTTATTACTTTATTAGTGCCGCACATCACTTTTATATTATTAATTTCAGGGTTATTTTGGTTACCTTGTGCTTGGCTGCTTCCACTTTTAAAGTGATTTGTGCGCTCACATTTACCTATTTTACATATATTCTGACAGGTCTGCAGGAGACCTGCATGGCATCAGCAATCTACTGATTGCTGGTGCAATACTTTCCAGGGT